AGCGCATGGAAATGGTTTCTTTTTTATTTACAGGCATTAAAGTAATAGGACAGTGGGATGCAGACCTTTGTGATTTTGTTACTATAACTGAAGAGCATTTAGATTTTCTAATTTCTACATGAATGAAAATAAATCTAAAAACCGAAGTGATCAATGACTAATAAGTCTTAATCACTACAGGATTAAAAATAACTTTCATACATAAGATCATAGTATTCTTATTTCTAGCCCTATGACATAATCTTACTATATTAGTAAGAGAAAGGTATTTCCTACAATGTTCTGATTCACTTTTCTAATCCCCAAAAACCTCTTTTCTGAATGGAATGGATGATCCCCAAAAGTAGGGTACATATTATTAAGTATAAATATGGCTGTTAGAAATGTTACTGAAAGCGCAAGTATTACCTCATATCTCCCTCTATTTCAGCAGTAAAATAGCTACAATATAATTATAATATAATTATAAAATTAGGTAATTATAAAATTATCTACCACTCTTAGTTAAAACAATTTACTACTTGAATAACGTTTTAGATTTTATCCTTATACTCACAACCTGTAACCATTGCCACCCACCACCACCCCATTCTAGTAACATCTTTTAACATGAAAATCAAGTATTAAAAATCTCTTAAATATCCAATCCCTATATCTAGCCATCAAAAAACCCTATGTTCTGATAATAAAAAAAAATAAAATTTGACACTATTATATGTCATGTCATAGAACAATCTGTGTTGTTTTAACATGTCTGAACATTGTGTGGTCTCTTAAACAGTCGGAAATAATTTCAATAATGCTATTGTTATTTTAAACTTCACAATTTCAGTAGTAAATCACCTTCATACCTACTAGACACATTTTTGGAGATTCTGATTGTAGTCAACTTTATTTTATTGAAAATACATTTTGCTTATTTTGGAAAAAACTTAGAAGTCATTGTACAGCCAACTCACAGAACTTACAAAGAGAAATTAATGAAAATAGTTCAGCCTATTGATAATTGGTCTAATTTGAAACTTTATAGTTTATATGACTACAGGAAATCTTGTGGTTATTACAGTCCTTGAGACTCTATTTTTCAGAAATCATTCTAAGTCACAGATCAAAATAAACTTGAATTTAAAAAAACTCATCATGTAATATTAACATTCTCAAATTTTATTTTCAGTACAATCGAGGCAATACAAAGCTATATGGGACTAAATTAAGCCAGAAAGCAAATTTTTTTATCACTATTTTCACACCATAAGCCCAGATTAAATGAATAAAATTGCTTTTATTCATATACAAAATTAATCTCAAAAACACACTTTTAACATATACCTTTCCTCCTGCTTTCAAAAATCCCATATACTCTTGCAGGGAAACTTGGCATTCTACTGTCCTATCTCCATCCAAACTCACTCCATACTTGGAAAACTAGGGGCTAAAAGCAACCAAAGTTAACCAATTCAAAATGACTATGTCCATCTTATTAGTGACCCTGTAACCAGATGGAGGAAACCCCAAAATAGTCTAGCTATAATCTAGCACTATGGAATCGAATTCTAATTTAAATAGATCTAGTTTTGGTGATTAACATAACATAAATAAATAAAAATAAATAAATCTTGTTTTAGGAAAAGATGAAGGTGAAGGAGAAGCTAACACTAGGGGGCAGCATCGAGCTGCTGGGACGGTCTGGGCTTTCTTCTAACATGTAAACTTTAAATCAAGGCTAGTATATTTTTAATGAAAATTACATTATAATGAAAGGCAACTTTATAGAGTTATAAAATTTGTTGTAAATGAAGGATAGCTTTAATTGGCTACACTTCTTCCCATTTCCTACTGTGTAATTTCTCTTGCATCTTGATTATCAGTTTAAAACGACTAGTAATGTTTAAGATTTGAGAGAGAGAAAGAGAACGAGGGGAGGGGCAAAAGGAGAGGGAGAGAATCTCAAGCAGAATCTGCGTTAAGCTCAGGGCCCTATGCAGGGCTCTATCTCATCACCCCAAGATCATGACCTGAGACAAAACCAAGAGTCAGACACTCAACAAACTGAGCCACACAGGCACCCCAATAATGTCCTGCTGATAAAAGCAAAACCCAGGGCATTTCCATTGAGGTAAGCACTACAGAGACAAGGACTAACATTTTTATCCAAAGTATTTCCTTGGGTTAATCCTAAATTTAAATTTTGTTACATTCAGTTAACATTTTAAACTTGATTTAAAAGGTTGACAAACAAGCTTTGCCCATTCATTAAATAATGTCATGAGCATTATGTGACAAAAAGTTGTGGAGTATGTGCCGCCTCAAGGATTTAGTAGGGCAGGGAAAACAAGATGTACATATGGAATTTTAAGTTAAAAAAATATGAGCACCAGAAAAAAAATTCTAAGGATTATTATATGTAAGTAACAGAACAATAACAATAGGATAACTGTATCTCTGGCAAAGGCCCAGTAGAAACCATTAAACCTCATTCTGGGGATAATCAAGTTATCAGAGTTAAAGACAGAAAGTAGTCCTCCAACCACTAATGAAAAACTGAAACATTTGTATGTAGAAAAGAAGGTAATATGAACTAAGGTTTTCTGCAGTCCTTTGTTTCATTATGTAATTTATAAATATCACAGTAAACCCATGAGGTAGGTTTTTTAGCACAAGTTCATAGATAAAAGATTAAGATAAACTTGCTCACCAAATTAGTTAATAATGGGTCATAGTTTTAAACCCTAAGTCTCACTCCAATTCTTTCCAATACTGCCAATACTTGGGGACAGAGAGGTTGGAGAGAACTGAGTAACGAGGTAAATTCTCTTTAATTATAATGTAACTGTAATTTCCCTTGCTATAACACCTATATCCTATATTCTCCATAAAACAGTAAAAAACTAAAACAAAAACCCACCCCTAGAGTAGTACTTGCATACCATACTCGAAGCCTCCTAAAAGTACTGCAAAATCAGGTGCTCAAAAAGGGGGAGAATCTGTTGGCTTTTAAATTGTAGAATATTAACTGGTAATGGGAAGAACAAATACTACTTATCACACAACATATTACTGATGTCAACTCCTAAGAAAGGTCTTCCCTGACCACTTCTTTTAAAGCAGCATCAAAGTCATTCTTACACAGGGATTCTTAACCAGGAGTCTGTGTACAAAATTCAGGCTTGTGAATCTAAATTTAAAAAAATGCATCCTCATTTTAATCTCTGAAAATTATTCTTTCAGTTATGAATGTAGGCAAAACCACAGAATATGTAGTACCTGATACTTTATCATACAAATTATATCCTTTAATGATCATTTAGTCACTAGCCTGAAATTGGGCATTAGAACTGAAACTACTCTTGATATTTAATGCTCTACTAAAGCATGGATTCCTTCATCTTATTTAATATTTTGATTATCTCAATGTAATTGGGTGTGTTGTAATCCTATATATTCCACATTTAAAAATCATCAGTCTCATCACACACACACACACATCCCTCCAGTACATCAATATTCAGTAAGTATAGGGATGTGGGTTATCTGGTATGGACCCCCCAAGTCTTGAACAGTGACTGACTCATAAAGGTACACAAAATTTGTAGAACAAGAAGTCTTAAAAAAAAAAAAAAGAGTATACAAAAGTCTTGATTTAAGGCTTTCCGCTGTATTATAATGAACTACACTCTAAATTTCCAGCTTTTCCAGTATATTATGTCCTTAATTATGTAAAGCTGTCACGTTAGTTTTGCTCCATCGAGAACGACTCCGTTTCAAAGTAAAACTAGAATACCGAACAGTGTGTAAGACATTCAATGAAAGAAAAGAAAAAAAAAACCAGTATAACCTACTTTTTAAAAAATTATGTGCTTTACTGTTACTCTTTACTACTTAAAACAGGGACTTGTGTGAAGGACCCTTCCAGTGAGGGCTGCGGATGTTGCTGATCCTTCTTCCTCGTGCCCAACTCCTCAAGACAGCCCATGTGGACAGGCTCCCACGTGAACAGTCTTTACACAAGCCGGGGGAAGATCTTCAACATCATCGCCTGCGCCCTCATACGGCCCCTTCTTAGCTGGGGTACTCGAGGACCCCAAGGGAGAAGCGAGTTGAGCAGACCCCAGAGCAGGGGGGGGCCGCGGCAGCTCTCCTGCTACTTCCCCAGCCGGGACCCACGCCGCTCACCGCCGACGGCTTTCAGGAACAAAGCCCGGGCCGCCACGCCACCTTCGGGCCCACCCGGCCTCCCCCTCCGACTCAGCCCCAGCCCCGCCCTCAGCCCTCAGCTCCGGGGACCCCAGCGGGCTCAAGAATTAACTCCCCCGCGTCCCGCCTCGGCTTTTCGGTTGGTGGGGCAGGAAAGCCTCCAAGAGGCCTCCCGCGGTAGGAGCACAGGCGCCACCGTCCGTTAGCCTCTCGGTGCCGGAACAGCGGCTCCCAGGCTCCATCCCGGGGGCCCCTCGTCCGACCCCAGGAGAGACCGGAGGGAAGGACAGGACAGGAAAAATCGGGGCATTCGTCGCCTCCGCAAGTCCTTCCAAGGCCTGACTGCGGATCCTCCCACCCTCCGGGCACGGGGTCCCCGCCTCCTCTGGCGACGCCACCCTCGGCCCCCAGGCCGCCCGCGCGCAGCCCCCTAACCGCCGCCGCCCGCCCAGCGGTCACTCCCCCACTCCCCGCGCGGGTCCCCAGCCTCAACAGGAGTCTGGGTCAAGCGCGGGGTCCCGCACGCGGAAAGAAGACTGCCCGGCCGCCAACCCCGCGGCCGCCCAGAGCGCACACGAGGAGCCGCGGCGCCCCACGCGCAGCCCACCGCGCGCTCTGCTCCGGCTCGCCGCCGCCGCCGCCGCCGCCGCTGACTGCAGCGCCCGGATCCCCGAGGGACCCGGCCCGGACTCCCCCGTTCTTGTCTCCCTTTCTACCCCCCCGCCGTCCCGGGACTCGCAGTCTCCGCCGCGCATGGGGCCGGTTCTGGGGGAGGGAATGTAAACAAATCGGGGTTTTATAGTTACCTCACACTCGAGTGCCGTGTGCATCTCCTCTCCGCTCGGTACCAAACCCCGGCTGCACCAAATCGTGTATTCACCAAAGCCGGCTGCGCTAAGTGCGTCGCGGAGGCCCGCGCGTCAGACACCAGGCTACGCTACCGGCGTACAAGGCCCACTCAGGTCCCTGCGCAGCCGCACCCCGTCCGCCTATGGGTGCTACGCTCTGGGCGTACACGCACCACCCAGCCATTCACTTCGGATAACGCAACTTGCGGAAGGGAACTGCACCACTCTCGGATTCCACACGGACAGACCGAGCAGTAGGAAATTCGAGTCTACGCAAACTGCGGAACTCCGTGGCTCCGCGGTAGTTTTGTTCCAAGAAAGGACGCTGCGGGGGAGTTGGGGCGGCTTCTAACGCATGCGTGGAGCGCCCTTTACCGCTCGTCTTTTCTCCTGGTTTTGCGTGTCGGTTGCTGCAGCCCTGGTGAGGCGGATGAGTAATGTAAGCTGTCAGCGCAAACGCTTTAGCCAAAAAGTATCAGATTGATAAATTGAGATATTTATCTGTACCATCCCCTTTGTTAAAATAACCTCTCAGTCTCTTAGGGCAAAAAGGAACTACTATTTAATGCGAAGTACGAGGTCTTTTGCATAGTTCTTTCCCCACCCCACAATTTATTCTCAAGCGCACTTCCTGTGGGCCTTCCAAGCGTAAAAGAAAAAGTTGAGTTCAGAGAGCATGTCGCGCACTTATGGTAATTCTTGAGACTCTGGCAACTTTCCAAGGTTTTCCACCACCTCCTACTGCCTAATTCACTGATTATTTCATAACACCCAACGGGCAAGAACTCCTGATCCAGCCAAGCAATTCCATGGACTCCTGCCTACCTCGTGCTCATTCTTGCTCCCATTCCTTTGCTCACACCATACTTGCCATCTGAATTGTCTCCTCCCCTTTTCTTAAGCAATTCATAACCCATACTTTCTTAAAAGGTGGCTCTGGACACCTTCCCTTTGTTCCATTACTTTGCTTCCTGCAGGTATTTAATCTCCATGGTGAGGCTTATCTGTATTCTGTCTGGTGTGCCTATTTCTGCATCCAGCCAGAATCTAATAGAGTCAGTTCTGGGGTGTCTTAGTGATGTCTAGCAGAGTGCATAAAACCATGATCAATAGTAATAACAAGCTTTACTATGTGTCAGGTACTTCCTAAGTGCTTTACATATATATTAATTTCATGCTCGTAACACAGTGAAGTAGATATTATTATCCCACCCCAGGAAACTGAGGCACAAGAAGTTAAGTAACTTGCTTAAGATCACAGAACAGATAGGGAGGAGAATTGGGATCCAAACCCAGTTAGTATGGCTACATATCCTGCTGTTCAGCATATTTATCTTTGTGAAGCAAGATTCTATTTTTGTTTTGTATCTCTACAAAGAACATCTTTTAGGTACTTAGTAAATGTCTATGGACTGTCAAGATACTAAGCTTCTCATATCCCTTCTTTCCTGTCTGGGAAAGTCCGTCCATTGACAACCCCCCCCCCCCCCCACTACTGCAAGTTTCCAAAGCTGTTATTAGGCAGAGAGAACTCCTGAGGTATAGGGGAGAAATCAAGTCAGATCCTCGTGTCAAGTTTCACCATATCACTAACTGTGGGAGACCATGATCATGGTCCTAAGATTCATGGATAAATTAAGGGAATTGGGGGGCGCCTGGGTGGCTCAGTCGTTAAGCGTCTGCCTTCGGCTCAGGTCGTGATCCCAGGGTCCTGGGATCGAGCCCCGCATCAGGCCCCCTGCTCGGCGGGAAGCCTGCTTCTCCCTCTGCCACTCCCCCTGCTTGTGTTCCCTCTCTCACTGTGTCTCTCTCTTCAAATAAATAAATAAATAAATAAATAAATAAATAAATAAATAAATAAATAAATAAATGGAATTGGTCTAAATTTATTCTAAAGTCCTTAGATCTCATAAAAGCAGAACTAATGTCCTTAGATTTCATAAAATCAATATGGTACATCTTCTAGGTACAAAGCATTATAAGCTTCCAAATTACACTTATATTTTAAGGCTCATAATTATTAATTTTAAGGCTGATAATTATTTTATTGACATTATTTTCAGTACCTTTACCATATACGCAATATCTTTCTTCTGAATATCAATAAGATACAGTGCATTCCTTATATCTTAGGGTACCCACAATGCTTTTTCACTTTATAAAGCTAATTAATGTTCAGCTGGTTCACATAAGTGCAGCTGAACTGATTTATCACATATTCAAATACTTCCATACAAGTTTGTCAACAGCTGCAGTTCTGAGTCAAATTCCTCAAGAATTCGAATTCCCCACCCTGTACCAGCCCTTTCTCTCAGGATTCTCTAGACCTCCCACATTTCAGGAACTAAGGGGTTAATGCCTGGCTAAGGGGAGAAACCTGCAGGACCCACCTGTTATCAAAGACCTTCATTCTGATTGGTTGGTGCCCTTGCTTTACCAACTGTTACATATCTTAAATATCATCCTTGCATAAAACTATAGGGTAAACCTACTTGAAAATAGACCATGTCTCCTCCCACTTCTATTCACTTACCCAAACATTCATATATGATCAAGTATATGCACTCTTATTAGGGCAAGGCTTAGAGTAAAATTACTACATATGGTAAATGAGCGGAAAACTAGTGTATTACTTTTCCTAGTGGGAAAAGGAATCTCAGCAAATGACTTGAAGGCTTACTCAAAATCACCTGCTGAGTTAAACAATGGAGAGTGCTGCAAAAACATCACTGTAATGTATGGTTTATTTTTGCCCATTTTATATATAAGGAATGTGTCAGAGTAAGGAAATTCTAATATGTTAGAATCATAGAAGATCTATTTAAGAAGATCTTAAGAAAGAGAGCAAGAGAGAGCGTTGTGTGTGAGAGAAAGGCAGGGGAGAGGAAGAAAGAGAATCCCAAGCAGGCTCCACACCCAGCGCAGGGCCCAACACAGGCCTAGATTATGACCTGAGCCAAAATCAAGAGTCGGACACTTAACCAACTGAGCCACCCAGGTGCCCAGAATAATAAAACTTTCTAAAAGGATTAGTAATTTTTTTTCTATCCACCCCATTTGATTCATAAAGAAGCTCACCTGAACTATAAAAACAGTATAGATGATTTGCAAATCTTGGGGGATGGGGGAAAGAGAATATCGAATTATTTATAAATGGTTTACCTTTCATTTGTTTTTGCTTATTCACATTGCTTCGGTCAGTTTTATTTAACATATCTAAAATTTTAAGCATGACTAATCTACCTTTGTGAGGCATGACATAATAAATCCGATGGCCTGGGGTGCCTGGGTGGCTCAGTCAGTTAAGCATCTACCTTCGGCTCAGGTCATGATCCCAGAGTCCTGGATCGAGCCCCCTCACTCCCTGCTCAGTGGAGCGCCCTCTTCTCCCTCTCCCTCTGCTGCTCCCACTGCTTGTAGTTTCTCACTCTGTCAAATAAAAAAATAAAATCTTTAAAAAAAATTAAAAAATAAATCCAATGGCCTTTTTTGCTCCTCAGATTAGAAAAGAACCAGCTGCAATAAATACAGAAAATAAGAATCACTTCCTACCTTAATCTTTAGTTGTGACTAAAGGAAGTCTATGTCATAAACTTGGTTTCCCTCTAGTAGAGGAGAAAATTGTCACCATCCACAACAAAGTTAAGAACTTTTAATTAAATTTCTAAAGAACATTAGTGATTCAAAGACATCAGACCTTTCAAACAATTGTTCTTTCCATGAGTTAAGATTAGTAATAACTAAAGATAAAACCCTTATATTCATGTTCAGTTTAAACTCTGATCTTCAGGAGCGCCTGGGTGGCTCAGTCGGTTAAGCATCTGCCTTCAGCTCAGGTCATGATCCCAGGGTCCTGGGATCGAGCCCCAAGTCAGGATCCCTGCTCAGTGAGGAGTTTGCTTCTCCCTCTCCCTCTGCCCCCACCCCCCTCATGCTCCCTCCCGCCTCCTCAAATAAATAAGTAAAATCTTTAAAATATAAATAAACTAATTTTTACATGGCCAAAAAAGTTTGGTTCAGACAAAGTCATGCCTAGAGGAAAGAGAACAAGGAAGACTAAATTATATGGAACACTACATCAAAAACTAATGATGTAATGTATGGTGATTAACATAAGATAATAATTTTAAAAATAAATAAATAAATAAATTATATGGATATACAGCCCTGAGGTGGGGGGTACCAAGTACCAGGAAAAGGTGTTAACGAATTGAAAAAAGAATATATAAACCTAGGCCTCAAAATTAACAGCTATCTACTCACTTTTGGAGACTATGTATTTCAGCCTGGAGATTGAGGCCCCCCACTCCGGATCTGAAGCCAGAGAAATGTAAAAGGCAAACCCCGTTTCTGTTCTTTAAGCCCCATAGCAAGGTGTAACATCTAACATGTCAAGCCCACGGTCAGGATGGGAAGTGGGATCTGTGGGGCAGTCTTTTCCTGATCTCTTGAGAAATGATGGCTCTGCCATCTCTTCTTAAGACTCATCATTCCTAAAACTAAGATAGACTGTGCAAGTTTGCATGGAAGCTCTCATTAGAACAGTGTGGCTGCCCTTGCAGCCCTTTCTAATGAGCAGGACTCATGTCACTGACAAGACTATCCTCTAAAACAGAGCCCACCACTGAGGACGATACACAAAGGCAGGGAGAGAGCAACCCATCCCACCCTGGTGAGAGACAAATTTGACTGATGTACCTGTCAGGTGAGACCATTTTGAGTTGGTAGACTTGTGCAATAAAATGAGTTTCAGGCTATCTGCACAAATGAAAACAGATTCGAGAAATGAAACAACTAATACAACAGTTCAAACAACTCCCCGCCTCCAGTAGAAGTTAACTTTTATGTCATTGCCTAGATGATGCTAACATTACACTAGGCAGATCCCTCAGTTTTGGTTCATTGCAATACCAACAAAAGGACTTTTAACATTAGACAGGAAGAAAGACAACAATGGAGAGGCTTAAAGTTCCTGATTTACCATGGCAAGTCCTTTCGAAAATAGGAATGAGACCTAGCCTAGGAGAAGTCGGAATACCCACTCAGAAGAATGAATGAAAGGAAGAAGCTCACAGCTGGAGCCATGGTGACAGGCAGACCACACATTTGCCCACATGATGGTAAAAGGAAGATGTCTTGCCCCAGACCTAGTCTATTGTGCTCATCAATCCCCGGAATTTCATATTTAGAACTTTATTCCTGGGACTTGAAAAGGGACTTTGACCCTAAGGGAAGTTACCACTATTCTATTACTTGTTTATACTGCTGTGAGAGTATATTTTTTCATGCCTTTTCTGAAGAAGAGGAAGTTTTAACAAGGGAGGAAATATGATTATCTAGTTTCCTAAGGGTAGTGTGGTACAAAGGGACAAAAGGAAAACTACACAAATTGCCAACTTCTCAATCTTGCTTCTAGCCAGCCTTGTTCACTTACAGAATACTAAGATGAAGAAAACCAGTAGGT